TGATGTGCTTTACGACCGCCAGTATCGCGTAAGCTTCTCCTGTGAAAATTCTTGCATCAGGATGAAGAACGCCCGCCTTGGAAAAGGATTGGCCTACCGCTACACATGACACAGAAGTGTTGGACTTTGAGGCATCGGTATAAAACTCAGGGCATGTGTATATGTTGTATTTCTAGGAAGTATGTATGTGTGCAAGTGGTGCGTGCTTTGTCACTTCAACAAAAGAGACATCACAGTCTATAAGCTGCCACTGCCACGGTGGCAGATATGCTGCAGGAGCCATCAAACTGTGTTCGAGAAGAGGCACACCTGCTTTTTCGGCCAGGCCCCTTACACGAAGCGAGTAGAGCTGCCTCAACAAAGGACGGTTCTCAAACAAGCCAGAAAAAGACAAATCATTAATTGTGAAATGAGAGGGGTGTTTCTTGTCTACCTTCACCTTCAGAAAGTACAAAAGAAAGACAGGTAACATCTTTGTAGGTGAAGCGACCATTCATTCGAATCCACGTAGAGGCTCTCCACAGAGCTAGTTCGAAAAACACTTGTAGAGAGGCGAATGCCTAGATGGTGGACAGGGTCTAGAACCTTCAAGGCTGATGATGTTGCTGACTGATAGATTATAGCACCATAATCTAGGCGTGTGCGTACGAGACTTTTATATAAATTCATCAGACATTTCTTGTCACTGCCCATGTAGTGTATGACAACACTTTCAAAATATTCACTGTTTTTAAGCACCTGTCTTTTAAATACTTGATGTGTGGGATGAAGGTTAGTTTTGTGTCTAATATTAGTCCAAGAAACTTGTGCTCGGTCTTCACTGACAGAGGTTGACCATGCACGTCAATGTTGGGGTCAGGATGGAGGCCCCCCTTTCGGCAGAACAAGACGCAAGTGCTCTCTTGCGCGTTGAGTATAAAACCATTCTTATCTGCCCATTGAGATACCTTGTTCAACCCTAGTTGAACTTGACGTTGGCACATTGAAATGTTGCACGATTTGAAACCAATGTGTACATCATCGACATATATGCAGTAAATAATATTACATGGGAGAGACAGGTGCAAGGAATTCATTTTAACTAAGAAAAGTGAGCACCTCAATAGACCTCCTTGTGGCACTTCTGTTTCTTGGACAAATATTCGAGATAAGACAGGGCCAACTTGTACACGGAATGTACGGTTGAACAGGTAGCTTTCTATGATTGTCAGTATTCTACCCCGCACACCTGAATGTTACATATCTTGCAATATGCCAAAGCGCCATGTAGTGTCATATGCCTTTTTCATGTCGAGGAACACAGAAAGAAAAAATTGCTTATGAACAAAAGCAGCACGAATTCGTGCCTCAATACGGATAAGGTGGTCAGTGGTGGACCGAGCCTCTCGAAACCCACACTGGTATGGGTCAAGTAGGCCATTAATTTCAAGGAAGTGCATCAGGCGCCTGTTAATCATTTTCTAAAGACCTTTCAAAGACAGCTAGTTAAGGCTATTGGCCTGTAGCTGGAAACTGAGACCAGGTCCTTGCCTTGTTTTAGAATGGGGATAACGATAGCTTCTTTCCAGGCTGAGGGTAGCTCGCCGGAAGACCATATCGCGTTAAACAGGGAGAGGAGAGCTTTCTGGGTTTCAGTGGGCAGGTGTTTTAACATTTCATGCGCCACACGGTCCGGGCCTGGGGTAGATTTATTGCAGCAGGTAAGTGAGGCTTGTAGTTCAGCCAAACAGAAAGGTTCATTGTATGCCTTATGTGTTGTGAGTTCGCGCTCTAATCTCTGTTTTTCTATTCTGGTTTTGTATCGTCGGAGCGCTTCACTATAGTGTGATGAGCTGGAGACCTGTTCGAAGTGCGCTCCAAGAGTGTTCGCCTGGTCTTCCAAACTCTACCCTTGTGTGTTCACTAAAGGAAGTGAATGTGCTTTTCGTCCTGCCACCGTACCAACCATGTTTCAGACTTTCGCCTCATCTGTGTAGAATTAATGCTTGATAAATATTTGTGCCAACTTTCCCTCCACGCCTGTCGGCGTGTCCTCCTTCCCTGCGACTTGATGTTTTTAAAGTTTAAAAGATTCTCGGCTCTAGGCGAGTCTCTAGGCAACTTCCATGCATTATTTTGTTTTTTTCGCGCATGACGGCAGTCATTATTCCACCATGGGACTTGTTGTTTGCCTGATGGTCCGCAGGTTTAGGGAATACATTTCGTTGCTGCATCAACCAAAAAAGCTGTAAAGTAGCACCCGGCATCCTCTATGCTTAACGCCGCCATGTCAGTCCAAGTTAATATAGTCATTTTTTGAAACTTTTCCCAATCATCTTTGTCGGTGAGCCATTTGAGAACCTGTGCAGGACATGTATTTGTTATTGATGTGCTGATAATGATAGCAAAATTGTCACTACCGTATGGATCATTAATGACTTCCCATTTAAGTAGAGGCAGGAGTGATGGGGATGTTATGCTGAGGTCTATTGTTGAGTACGTATTGTTAGCGATGTTGTAATATGTTGGCTCTTTCCGATTCAGAAGGTACGCATTGGAAGAAAAAAGGAACTGTTCAATCAGGCGACCTCACGCATCGCAGCGAGAGTGACCCCAGAGGCTACCATGTGCATTAAAGTCCCCTAAGACAAGGTAGGGTTCTGGAAGTTCATTTACGGGAGACTGGAATTCATGCTTTTCAAGACGGTGTTGTGGAGGCATGTATAGAGAGCAGATGGTGATGAGCTTATTTAAAAGAACTGCTCAAACAGCCACCGCCTCAAGGAATGTTTGTAGTGGTAGGTGTGTGCATGCAATCCCTTGATTAACTATAATGGCAACACCACCGGATGGCACAAGGGCATCATTCTGGTCCTTTCGAAAGATAACGTTATTGCGTAGAAAGTTAGTATGTTTTGGTTTCAAGAGTGTTTCTTGCACACACAGCACTTTTGGTGTATGTTCGTGTGAGAGCTCCTGAATATCGTCGAGGTTTCTCAGCAGTCCTCTGCAGTTCCACTGTAGTATTTGTGTCATTTTAGTGTTGTGTGGTGCTGTGTGTACAAAAGTGTTGCCTTAGTTTACAGGGCCTTTTGGGTGGGTGCCCTGTAATTCGTATTTTTTTCTTTCTTGGCGCGCTCCAAAGAGTTGCGCCTATCTTTCAGCGTTTGAGGCGCCAGAGGAGTCATACTTGTATCCATCACCTCTTGTAAGGTGGTGGATGGTGTCTGCTCGGCAGGCATGGTCACAGAACTTTCAGACCTAACTGCATTTGCAGTGGTCCGAGGTTCAGAAGACACAGGGGTCTGCCGGCCCTGTTTGTCAGGTGGCGGAGCAGTACAGGCTGCTCCAGCCGGGGGTGCTGGTGGCATGACCGTGACCACACACTGCGTGACTTTCGCGAATGTAGAGTCATGTGGTGCGGCGCCACGGCACGTCACATCTGCGAAAAAGGATTAAGATGGGTTGTGTAGTGCGAAACGTTGACGTGCTTCTTGGAATGACAGATTGAATTTGACCTTATGTTCTACTATTTGTTTTTCTTTTTTCCATGTGGGGCATAATCGTGAGTAGGCAGCGTGATCTCCTTCACAGTTCGAACAATGAGTTGTTTCCGAGGTGCAGTTGTCTAGTATGTGTTTAATAGATGCACACTTTGTGCAAGTGGCACGCCCTCTGCAACTCTGCAATCCATGACCGAAACGTTCACACTTGATACATCGACGAGGGTTGGGAATGTATGGTCTCATATGGAGCTTACAATAGCCGGTTTCAATTGATTCTGGTAGGTCACTTGTTCCAAAGGTAATTGTTACGTGTTTTGTTGGGGTAAGTTTGTTGTTGCGCCTTATTGTTATTTGTTGGACTTTGACCACGTTCTGATCCTGCCGACCTTCGAGCAGCTCACTTTCAGAAAGCTCAGTAAGATCATCATCGGAAATTACGCCACGGACAGTGTTCATAGACCTGTGTGGGCCTACTGAAACAGGGGTTTCCTTAAACGCTACATGTTTAGACAGCTTCTCAAACTGAGCTTTGTCACGAACCTCCAGAAGAAGATTGCCACTTCCCATCTTTGTCACTTTATAACCTGGGCCTATTGCTTCCGTGAGAGTTTTCGACACGAGGAAAGGGGAAATCGCTCGGACTGTCTTTTTTTCATTCCGGCTGTGGATAACATGGTACTTTGGAAATGTCGGCTTTGGTGTGTTAAGCAGGAAAGTGTCTTCGGCGTGCCACCCTTTCACGGAGCGATCAGGAAGGGGGGGCAAAGCTTTTGCCATAAAAATACTATAAAGTTTGGCAGCGATGGTGGCCACCCACCACCGAGCCCAACATGGGGGTGCTACAAGGTTGAAAGCAAACACTTGGAGACGCCAGCCATACATCGCCGCTATAACCTGGTATAATTATCCTAGGTTGGATAGATACACCAGGTTAACCCTCGCCGCCAGAAAATTTGGAAGTAAACGGAAGAGAGATGACAGGACAGATAAAAAGTGAGAGATAAAGACCAAGATTAGGGGGAGAGAGATAGGAAAAGGCGACAGCCAATTTCGCCTAGGTAGGTCAGCCCAGGGGTGCCGTCTACGTGAAGCCGGAGCCAAAGGGGTGTGTTGCCTCTGCGGGGGCCTTAAAGGTCCAATCACCCAGCGTCAGAGCTCAACCCCCAGGATCCCCTTTTCCCCGGACATGGCAAAGCCACGCACGGCTGGGCGTGGGAGGGAGTCGAAATCCCCCCAGTAGCTCAGGTCCGTGGTGTCACTACACACCAAACGCCTGCTTCCGCAGACGCCCCTGCGGCGGCGACGCCAGGTAGTAAGCAGACAGCCGGTACGGACAAAAATACTCGAACAGTCCAGCTTCTACAGCTCATGCACAAGCTCGCGCTTCACCCTAAGAGATGGTCCCACTGGTCATTGCCTGGTGTATTCCCCACTACATTATTAAATTTTGTGGCCTAATAAGAGCAGGTCAGAAGTAACACAATCAGAGCCCATCTTTACAGAATCTGTACTCACTCTGCCTCCTGAGAGATCATCTTCTGCCACTCCCAGATTCGAAACTTCCAGAACATGAACAGGGCACGCAAGCCGGACACGCCCACAATGCGCCACCGTATACGCACTGTGCTGTCCTCCTTGTGAGTTGTCATTTTGAGAACTTCCAGTCGCACATGTGCATAGCGTAGGTGACCCAAGATGCGAACTAATGCCATTTGTTGCACATAGCCCGTAATGCCCCTGCAAGGCAGAAGCATCCATGGAGTTCACCAACAGCCAAAGCTCACCTTATCATTCGTCTTGCCATTGTTAAGAATAACTAGACTGTTTAAAGCAAGGGAAGACTTGCTGGAACATACTGGAGTTTGCTTTTCACAAACAAAAAAAAGATTCTTATTGATTTTTATGTTGATATGAACTATTAAATGTGAGCACTAAATAAAAAAATTTCACAATGGCAAGTACACTTTACCTACAAGTATTATTCCAAAGCATCTGTGATAATTATGCAGTATGTTCAAATAAATAAGGCTTTGATAAATTCTTGTATCTACGTAGAGCTTTGTAACTTGTCTGGTATGTGCTACAGGTCTACTCCACCGTGCACTACATGCGCACGTCCCTACGTCCTGCTAATAAAAAATGCATTACGCAGGTTACCCCCCCCCCTTCAGTCCTTTTTTCCAACAAGTGTCGCGCTCTCAAGAAGTATTCATTAATAAGGTCTACGCAAATTCTGCATACACACCGTATTCTTTAGCTAAATGGCGCCAATCGGACACTGCGACAGTAACGTGCAATCACTGCGGGTTGCGCTGCCACGCAGACCTTCACCACTTATGGCAATGTTTCGCATTCCATAAAGGGCAAATGGCCATACAGGCTTTGCAATGCACAAATTATTGTGAAGCGCTGCTTACGGACCCAGACACGCAGTTATTATTTGCGCAATATGGCTGTCAGAGTGGCCTGATCAGAGTGGTTTAGGGAGTCCTACAAACCATAGTACTGATCACACACCGCCTCAGCACAAATGATTGTGACTTGCATAAGTGTAAACCCTATGAAGCTCTGAAATATTACTATAGCTTGAAGGTCCGGCTTATCCCCATAGAGGACATGCAGCTCCCTCTTTTTCAATAAAGGATTTTCTATTCATCTTATCCGTTCAATACTTAAGTATGATCCTGCAATTATAGTTTTCTTGTGTATATTTTAATAGTTTAGCTTGGTGTTACAGTTGGCAATACTGATCATTTCTTGCAACTCCCACAATCACCCAGGTTGTGGCAACTTTAATGACAGATTATATTCAATTTCTCACATGCGCCAGCATAATTTCACTTCAATATGGCTGTTCTTTTGCAATGCATACAGACATTTTCTCACATACTCAAGCAAAACTTCACATCAATACGACTATTTTTTTCGTGCTTCTATAAAAGGCAAATAATTGCAGTACAGGTTCGCTGCAAAAATTAAAACACAGTGAAATTTACTTGAGTAATGAATTTGTGATTACTACATATGGCATATTTGAATAAATATACTTTTAATAGTGTCAAGAAATTTTCAGTCAATTATTATATGGTTTACTATTCCAAAAATGCACAGTGGGTAATGATTGCCATGAATGAAGGCTCTGGATTAGTTTTAATTACCTAAACTTCTTTAATGCCTTCAAGCCAAGCTCGTGTCATGGCAAAGACGAACCAGGACAAATTTATGGGCATTGGTAACATCATGCTTAGGAATTAAGATACATTGTGTGACCAGAAACAACAGCATGCACTGCTCTTTTTCTTAATATTTCTGCTTAGCCATTTACTCCAGTTTCAGAGGAAAGACTTCATAAACATTGATCAAATGTACAGATTTTTTTCTCATGACAGTCGCACAGGCTCCCATCAGTCAGTTTCCATGACCCACCCAAGTTTTTCGAAAACTCCCTGACTTTTCCACACATACCCAAACTCCCTGACTATTCCAGGTTTTTCAGGTCGGAAGACACCCTGTTAATCCACCTTATGTTTCTCTCCCCTTAGAGCACAGATGTTTTTTATATCAAATTTGATCAGAAAAAATATGTGAATAACAAGGTGAGAATATTGCACTCTTCTATAATGCTACTGACAAAAATAAAATCTAATTGAAAATGGAGCCCTGGGAAAGGTCATCGCCATGCAGATAACACAGCTCATTGAAATCTTGGTAGCTTAGTAAAGTGGTACCAAAATGAATGGTACCGAGATCGGCAACTTTCGAATGAACAGCCACAACACACACAAAAACAAAGAGAAGAGACTGCCAAATCTCCAACCTTGTAGTTATGCCACGAATGTTGTTCCTGAAGACAATGTTTTTGTTGTACAGGTTGTACATGTGTGGCTGAGTGAAAAATTGAGGCAAGTGATTTGCCAGGGCTTGAGATATCCGCTTTAACTGTTCCTCTGTGGCACGACCAGGATCAGGTAGCTGCTGATTACTGCCTGCCCCTTTCAGAGCAACTGATGTGCCCGCAAATTGCAACACCTCTCGCTCGTAGTCCGATAATGCCATCTCTGCTGCTACCCGACGGTCCACATCAAAGCAGTATACCTGATTAACAAAAGAAAAAAGAACACAGCAAGGATGAAGCCAAATCTAAAATAATAAATGTGCCTTTATCCACACTTTCACCTAAACTAGCATATCTCTCAATACCATTTATGAGCCAGCCAGTTCAAATTTGGCTATATCAAACTTTCAGAATGACACTAAACAATTAGTAATGTTTAGGCAACATATCTCACTTTCATTCATTTACAGTGCATATTGCCAAAAAAAAACATATTTCTGTGGAAGATCACAGCTGAAATCTCAAACTTAATATCCATGCATTAAATACAAAACAGTAGAACTGTTTCTCCAATCGGCGAACATGGAGTGCAAAAACATGGAGCGCAAAAACAATGATATACTATACCGGCAGACACATGATGACAGTGTTGGGTATACTCTTCTTAAAAGGGCCCTGTCAGTTATAATGGAATAGGCTCACTATTAGCACATGACACTTCACGAATAGCAGGCAGCAAGAATTTTTACAATCCATCACGTACAAGTGGAGTTGCAAGTATTTGTAGGACAGTTTTTTTTTTTTTGTACCAACGAGTGTGTTGCAAGCTGCGCAGAAAAGGGGAAGAAGGCAAAGGGGCACAAAGATGTGTCCTCACGTCAGCACATCATGACCTCAAGCACATTCTTTTGTTGTTTTTCTTCGAATGCACAGCTTACTAGCAGTGTAATCGCGAACGCAGGCATGTGACACTATCCCACAGCGGTTACAGTAACTACGCAGCTGACGATGCTCAAATCAGCTAACCACCGTGGATGTGGGTATATAGCAAAGAAATCTAGGTAGAAAAAAGAGGAAACTATTTACATCTGACTAGAATTACCATTAATTCTAGGCTCTGGGCCATGCAATAATGTTTGGCTTGAGTTGAGTTCTCTTAGTAGCCTTGGCCACAAGCTACCTTGACCAGGGTTGCCACTGACCTTTGAGTGAAATTCGCCATTTTTCTTCAAATTGCTCCAATAGGGTCGCCACTCTTCATATGAGTGGCATGCCCAGAAATAAAAACCGCTAATTATGTATAGCCCCATGGAGTATGGTATCATCCATATCTCCTAAATTATATTGTATCGATGTTTTTCAATGCCAGTCGCATCACCCTCTTAACCATGGGAGCACTGAGAAAGGACATGAATGCACCTGCAGCGTCTCTGAATGCTAGCACCTCATAACAATAGTTTGTGATTGTTTTATTTGTAGTGAACACAATGAGAAGCAGTCACCACAACAAGAGAGAGACGGTGTACATAGCCTCCCTGCTGATTTAACTAGATAATTTTATTACAGTAGAATGATGTGCCTGCCAATCGAACAACTTAATAATAAAAAAACAATGGAACTTAATTTGTAAGTCCTGCATAAACATCACAATGCCCGCACTATGCTTTCTGTGCTGTCATGCTTACACTACACATTTGCCTCAGTGTACTTTCTGAAAGCTGCCGTAAGAAGCAGACTTCTCGACCGGCTCGAAAAGTATGTTAATAACAAATTTAAACTCTACATACCAAATTAGTGGATACTACAGCAGTAAAAAGTCGACAAGCTATTCAGGACAGTGGGAGCTGTGGTCGGCTCATGCAGCCTAACCATCACCTAGCCACTTCAGAAGCGAAACTTTGAAGAAGCTAAAAGTTTTTAAAGTACCTAAAAAACTTACTATAGCACCACCACCTTGCGGCATGCGAAGCAGCCTGCTGACTTAAATTTTCTTGTGAGATTGCAGGCGGTAGCACCAGTGCCTCCAGGATTCAGATGAGCGGAGAAGATACACACAGGAAACAGAGACACTGAATTGCACGTATAGTGCGCCTTCTGCTGGTGGGTCTAAAACTATGAAAATAGACAAATTCTTGTTGTCCATTCCTTTTGAAGACACTAAATATAGAGTGCATAAGTCTGTCAAAGCTAAGCCAAAAATCACCCAAAATTCGCTATATCACCACTCATAATTTTAGGTCGCCATGGGCTTCTCAAACTCGCCATTTAACAAAAAGTCGCCACCAGTGGCAACCCTGCCCTTGACTCCCTGATGTACTGGTGATTTTGGAAATTGCGATACGCATTGGCAAATACTATTGCAGCAGGCTCAATATGAGACAAGTCAGTGCCCCAGACATGCAGTGTTAAAAATAGCATGGGTTTAGTGTGCCGGCTGGCACCTTGCATGAACCTAGGGTTAAACAATAAATTAGGCAGATGACCCTAAACCGACAGCAGAACTAAAAAGATGATTGATACATTTTTTAAGGATAAAGACATGCATACTATTCATTTTAGTTATTAAGTGAGGATTTTTTTCAGCCTCATGAAATCACTCAATGCCTGTCCCTTCTATTACAGTCTGCCCTTTCAACTACGCAGTTTGGCAAGAGGATAGCAAGCGAATTTCGGCTGTATTGAAAGAAAATTATAAATTTGCTACTGCATTTCGCACTTCAATATTTGACTCAGATGGTCACACAAGAGCCTTCAAAACATACTGGCAGCATCTTACGGCTAATGTGAAAAGATGATGCTGGGGCCCTTTAAAGGGTACTGACAAAAACATTTTCAGTCGTAGTCTTTTTGTGTCCAATGAAAAGCCAAGCCTTCAAGAGCATAGAAAAAGTAGTGCTAAGTGCAACTGCACCTTGAAAAAGTAATTATAATATACTATTAAAAGCTAGTTTCAGTCCCTACTGTACTCTGACGTCACAACATGGTATATGCATCTTGTCATATGCTCGCACAATACATAGTGATGTTTAAATGGCCGCTCCACACCGTGGCTCTGCTGGGGATGCGCACAAGTGGATACCTTGAATGTTTTGATGATGCGCAAGTGGCATCTTAGAAGTTTTGGTACTCAACGTCATCAGAACTAGCCAGACTGCTGCCTGAAGTCACCAGAATTCGTACTGTAGCCTGACATCAAGCTAGTACAGATGTCCGTAAGTGTGCCATGGAAAAATTGACTTTAATATCAAAATAAAATATGCCGATCAGCATTTGCTAGGCTGCACACTTGCTCGGAGCTGTCTCTGCACACAGGGGATTTCTAGGGCAGATTAAACTCACTTTTGAAAAAACGTGTCAGTAGTATTTTAAAGGATGACACAACAGCCATAGATGTCTTGGGTTGATAGAACACTTTCACTGGCAGTGCAAAAACTCGACAAATAGTCATCTTGAGGACAAGTGCTGCAGTCTAAGTGCAGAAAACTGAGCATGACATCGAAACAACTTATCTCGCAGAATTTACCACAAAGCTTGCAAACATCACCGTCAAAAGAAATGACCACTTATGAGTAAATTATACAACTGTTATAAAAGTTGCCAATGACGCATGCGAATAGAAGGAATGAAAGCAACTTTTTAGTATCTCTGCTATTTTGCTATTTATGCAGGTATGAAAATAATAGATTGGCACTTGGAATTAGCATAAGTGGGCTCCGTGGGCCAAAAGTTCTGTACTAGATTTTATAAAAATTGAAACTCAGTAACACTTCACCCATATATCAGATTACATTTAAATAAGATGTGTATAGTATAGTGGCAAGGAAACATGCATGAATTGTACAGACTCTAACCCTAAAAAGAACAAAAGCTGTGTTCTCACCTTGTATGGGTAAGCATCCAAATAGCCAGACAAGACTGTAGTAGGCACTCTGTAAACGACACCTGAGGACTTCGTCTCATCATCGCCACTACGGAGTTCAAAAAATGTGAAAGGGGCTTGTTCCTCCCGTTTGATAAGTTCTGGAGCAATGGCGTCATTTATGACGACCTCAGGCAGTGAGTGTACAGCAGGGAGACATATACTCGAACTGTGGCATGTGGTCTGGAGGGAAGTGCCACCCAGGACTTGAGGCAACACAGCAGCATGCCTTGCAAGTACCTGTGCACAAAAAATGCAGAAGGAAAGCTCAGTAACTGTGTCAATTGAACTCCATTGCCTTCATTAAAAGGTGCAGTCTAGCAAAAAAAAAAAGGGCAGTTTTTTGCTGAAGTATTATCATATGAAATTTCAACATGCAAAAGTAAATATTCAGGTATAAATGAACTGGATATTCAGAACGAATATGCTTCTCTCTGGTCACTTAAAAAATGCTTCCTTCTTTGAGGCTAAACAAAAGCACTATTAAAACATATTAAACACTATCCCAACGAGCAGACAATGAATGATGTTGGCCAAGACTGCGATCAGGCGAACAGACACAGTTTGCTCTGTGCTTTGGCATGTATGTTGCAGATGTATTACTGTAATGTCATCAACGATGTGAATAGTAACCTAATTTTTGCAGAGACTATGGTATTCATGTTTGTGTAGTAATTTGATCACAAACCTTCAAGCCTTTTTATCCATGATTTAACACATATAACAATAATCTTCTATTTTTTATGTCAATGTGATTAAGGGAACACCATAGTGAAGGAGTCTGGAAATATAAACCAGCTGTGGTTCTTTAACGAGCATCTGCAACCAAGTACCCGGGCCTCTAGCATTTCGCCTTCATCGAAGTGCGACCACTACAGCCAGGATTTAAGCCCAAAACCTTCCAGTCAGCAATTGAGCACCATAACCACTAGACCCCAACTCTGACCAACTGGACTTGCTCTATGCCATCTCCTGACGCCGACAAGAGCTCTCGCAAGTGGTGCCCCGTCCTTGGACTCCTGTGACCGTGTTTCCATCTTTCCTATCCCTCCTATCCCCTCGATATGTCGTCACTCTCACGCTTACCTCATCTCTCTTTCTCTCTCTCTACACCTTTATTCCTATCCTTTTAATCCCTCCTCACCCCCATCCCTTGTGAGCTACTGTTGAGGTGTCGCTCCCCGAAGCAGACAGTTACGGGGCTCACTTTTCTTTTCTTTTCCTTCTTACAGCATAACCACTCCCCCCCCCCCCTCCACAGAGGGTATGATTTAACACTGCAGTTTACATTTTTTACACTGCACCTTTGACTTTGACATCACACTACAGGCAGTATGTCTGAATTAGCTATGCTGCACTCAGTGGTTTGGATGTGTAGAGCTGTGTAGTCATAGTGCCAGCTTTTTGTAGAAGACAACATGGCACTATATGCAATGGTTAGTGGTCTCATAATAATAACAATATCTGGGGTTTTACGTGTCACTACCACAATACGATTACTAAAGACGCTGTAGTGGAGGGCTCCAAAAATGTAGACCATCTGGGGTTTTTTGGCGTGCACCAAAATATAAGTACATGAGCCTTGAACGTTTTCGGCTCCATCGAAAATGTGGTTGCCGTGGCCAGGATTTCACCCGCGACCTGCGGGTCATCAGCAGTCAAGCATCATAACCACTATGTCACCGTGGCAGGTCTATGCAGAAGCGACTGTAGCAAGAAACATTAAATACCACAGCCACTTGACAGCCTGTTTCAATGTACAAATTCCAAGGCAAAGATTATCTAATGAGGTGAGGCAAGGTCAGTATATCCCCTACGGGGTCGCGAATTATGGACGTCTAAAAATGTGTCATATTTATGCAACATGATTTCAAGATACTTGATATTACATAAAAAAAGAGGCAATACATTGCTCTGCACAACTTTCAGTAAAAAATGATTATTAGCCTATAATCAAATGTCATTATTCTGTATTCAGTCAGGTTAAGTTCTTGAAAAAAAAACAACAAAAGTATTAGGCCCAAAAAAGCACGCACAGTTCATTTTTCGGTTGCAGTTGCTTCGAACAAATAAAAACAATGCTCTTGACGTTGGTCCTGGAACCCGGCATGTCGAACAATCGCCGAACATGGCAGTGTCTCCAGCAAAGTGGTCTTCTGGAGCCATACACAGCCTAATGAAGTTAAGCGAGAGTCAATTATCTACTAGAGAAGCCTGTACAAATGTACACACAATATTTGAAGGCATTTAAAGTAATGTGCAGGGCGTGACACTCCTCCGTATTTGACGTGTATATTTGTACACACAACCGCTGAAGGGGTAATTGAAGGAGTGAGACGTCTGGTGAGGCTTTTACAAAAATATAATCTACTTTTTTTGCCAACAGAGCTATAACTTAAATCAATAGATTTAATACCTAATTGCGCTTTCAACTTAAAGTGCTTTCTGGAAAGTTAAAAGTCATAGTCATTTACAGAAATCTTTCACACTTAGCATACGACAAAACAGTGTTACTTCTTTACAATGTACCAAAAGACGCTAACACAAGCACTAATAGAATGTTAATAATAGAACGCCAAAAGCCCAGAGTGCCTGCTAGTACGTTGTGCGATTATTTCACACATTTAATTTCAGAGGGGTGGGGGTGGATGAAGGACGAGAGGGAAGCAATCGAGACAGCAGTGGCTTCTGAAAAAGTTATGAGCGCGTAAAGCGGTACCAATGTTGAAATAAAACCTGGCGCTAGGTTTATGCGACACCACTTTCACAAGTGTTGATAACTATGGGTAATGCCTAGAGTTGTACTTTAGGTTACAGTATTCGTGGCTTACGGCATAACGCGAAGCGCCGCTCACAATGTGCAGGCAGTAGCCCAGTATTTACCTGTACCCCTAATGAGTTGTGTAAACATAAACTATTTATTAATAAAATATCAAGAGGCCGGCGACTTGTGTAGCGCACATCGCATGAATCGCACATTACGTAGGAGACGGTGTCAGTGAGCTAGCGCGAACACGTGAGCTCACGGGATAGCAGAAGCGACTGATCTAAGGTTCCGGAAGCGAATAAAAACGAAAGCAACACAAAACGGCAAGAATCACCTTCGTGCCTCGGCTAGAGGTTAGGGTTACATAGCAATTGCATGGCGTTGCTGCGCTCAGGGTCAGAAGACCGGTGTGGGACCTGATGTTGCCAGTCTTCACAGTCCCCAACGCACTGTTCAAAGATCCCTTGAGCGCTCGGAAACACACGGCCATATCACACAGGAAAGCTCCAGTTAGGAAACAAGTGAAAAGTGGAGACGAGACAGTTTAAATATGCACAAAATGTATACACATGCCCCACGACTCGGAGCCGCAGGAAATTAGCTACTGCTGCTGCCGGTCAATGTTGACTGAATGTCACAAAAACCTGCTAAGGTCATAAAGCCAAACCAAGGTAAATACTGCAAAAGCCACTTTAAGATGAAAAAACTTATTAAATATGACAACTTAAACAACCAAGTGTTTCACAAATGAACATTATATTTTTAACGCAGGTTATTTTTTTAGGTCTTATTCACTGAACACTTTGTTTTCTGTTAACGCTTGGTGTCGCCGACAGTATCCGTGTTTCACGAGGAACGCATGTGCGCCGGCAATGGCGTGGTATGTTGCGGCGTTTTCTCAAGTTAGGTTATTTTCTGGGTTTTCCGTCCATACTGCTTTAACGTTACAGACGTTCGCACCACGTGTAGCCATCGCATGTAATATTCAATGCCGCTACAAGACGTCTACAACCATTAAGAGGCGAAAAACGTACCCTTTCCACTGGTGGGCACCGCGCAGGAGAAAAGTGAGGGACCAGGATCATATCTTGCCAGAGAACTACACTTTTCTCCAAGAGGTTGCCCAGAAGAAGTATCTGCAGCCAGGTGAAAGTCCGCTCAGGGAGGAACCATGGCCTGTAGCGACTTGGACGCCTGAGTCACGGAGGACCGGAGTGATCGGGCGTAAGATAGGCATCTACCCCATGTGGACTAACACTGGCAAGCGCATACTCACTACGTTGATACAGGTCTTGGACAACCACGTAATTGACTACTTGCCTCCGGAGCAATATGCAAAGACGCGGTTTGGCTTCCGAGCGCCCGGTCTCGGTTGTTTGGTAGTGGGTGCCGGTAGTATAGATCCCATGAACTTCAAGGCGCCCTACCTAAAGCTTTTCGAGAAGTCTGGCGTCATGCCCAAGAAGAAGCTCACCCGGTTCCTGGTCACTCCAGATGCGGCCCTTCCGCCTGGGACGCCGCTTACGGCGGCTCATTTCCGACCGGGCGACTACGTGAATGTGTACGGTAAGACCCGGGGTCATGGTTTTCAGGGTGTGATGAAGCGATGGGGCATGAAAGGTGGGCCGGCTACGCACGGCACGACCAAGGCACACCGGCGATTAGGAGCCATCGGCGGGCCGCGAGGCACCATCCAGAAAGGAAAGCGCATGCCTGGACACATGGGCCAGGAGAGACGACTGCTAGTCGGTCTCCGCATCTGGCGCATCAACACACTGCACAACGTACTTTTTGTTCACGGACCTGCGGTGCCTGGCCACACTCTGGCGCTTGTGAATGTATTCGACTCGAGGCATGGCAAAAAGGGCCATTCAGCCGATGACCCGCCACCATTCCCCACGTACTTCCCTGATGCTGAGCATCCTTTGCCAGAGGAAATGTACGACAGAGAGCTGCACCCATTCGAGGCGCCGTCAGTCACCTTCGAGGAGGAAGAAGTGCAAGTTAAAAAGAAAGCCAAGGTCAAGGCGAAAACCAAGGCTCGGAAGTAGTCGCATAGCTGCTTACAAGCATTTGCATAACACTTGTTTAATTGTAGAATAAATCAATGCCCACATTATTTGAGTTGGCTGCCCTTTCATGGAACAGTAAATATGCCTATGTGGAAGACACTTTAACATTTCCATATGGAGTGTCTGCTAAATGTAGAGTCTTTCCTGATTACAGCAGTATAGTGTTCTATTGGGGCACCTTTGTATGGAACAAAACACCGCTTGCAATTTTGGTGGCTGGAAAACTTGTTGTAGTGATGAAAGCCTGTGCTTAACATCTCATTGAGCTCAAGTAGCATTGCACTGATGGACTTCAAAGTAATTTTGACCACCTGTGACTTTTTAAAGCACTAGAAAAGTTTGCAGCTTGAATGCCTTTTACTTTTGTCTCTGAAAATCTACTGTGGCTGGTAGAGATGGAAGTAGAAACCACGTGATCTGTACGAGGCTTAAAATACCATGCACTAGTAGTCGTGCACAAAAAGCCAAGCATACCTATTGTATTAAAGGAATGCAGCCATTGTAAGGCTATCACAGGTTGCCCATTTTAGCATCCCAGTGGCTGTGACATGGTGCTGCTGAGTTAAAGGTTGCAGGTTCTATTCCAACTGCAGTGGCCATATTTGAGTGTGAGAAAAATGCGAGAACAGTTGTGTACGTAGTTAAGGTGAATCAAGCTCATGAACATGATCCTGGTGAACTTGCAAAAGGCTGTTAAAAAGGACACCGCAACACTTTTCTGAGTAACCATCGAACGGCTTTATTAAATGAATTCATTGCCTCGCAAATCTACCGCCAGGAACATTTTTTCATTCCATAAAGTGTGAGAAGAGTTGCAGAAACTTGTCATGCGATATAATTGGTTTCTCTCTTTCCTACGAGTGCGCTGGAAGCTCAGCTGGGAGGGATGGCACAGGGAAACAAGTTGCGTCACATACGCGCCATCACCTTGAGCACTTTTTTCTTTTTTATCTTTTTTTCCCTTCACATGTGCGGTTTGAATTAAGCATGGTCACATGCGTGCTATCATGGGGTGACCTCCCGCGGCAGCCGTTGTAACTATGCAGCTCACAACAAATTAAAATCGAACGATCTAATGGCCATGGATCTGGGTATATCGTGCAGTCATTTGGGTATATCGCATCATTTGTAGAAAGAAGAGGGAATGATTTCTAGCTGACCTTAAGAAATAATTGTGAAATCCAGGCCACTGGTTGTGCTATGTTAGTGTCACGTGTCTTCTGGAGGCTCATCTACTGATCAACAACGGTTTCTGACCGTACCGAAAAGTGTTGCAGGGCTCCTTTAAATGGCCTTAGTGTTCCACTGAATAAATGGTTGCACTTAATCTGTGATCAAAGACCACATTAATGAAATTGGGCCAACTTTGCTTGACAAAATAGTTGGCTTTGAAGTGGTGTAAAAACATCTTGCTGATGAGCTACTGGATCATTTGTAAAAAGATAAAAAATGAGGTTGAAATTGCTTTAGAAGAGTTTTTAAAAGAATATTCCAGAACATGCTTTAACAAAAAACTGTCAAGTAAGGTCATCTTGTTTACCCTAATAACAAAGCGCTTAATATGTGCTGAAGAACCAAATGTGGTCAAAATCGTTCGGGAGTCTCCCATTGTGGTATGCCTCATAGTTATAATTTTGGCATATGAAACGCCGGAATTTCATTCTATTTTTAATGTATCTATGCAACTACATTAACTTACGTTTTCTTGAATGTAACTTTCAGCTATTTTACATTCTTTAAACCACATGGGAAGATGAGGATGCAACTAAGAAACATACAGAACACCACAAACACATTTGCTCATGGTGTTCTGTACGTTTCTTACTTTTGTCCACGTCTTTTCATGCAGTTTAATTATGAACAAAAAATGAGCTATGAACCAACTAGCCTGCCAGAATGCCTCCATTCAACTGCTTTCAAAACCTAAAGTTGCAGTTAACACTTTTCCTTGGCCTCTGAATGTGCGACATTAGAGTGCCAGTTGTGACTGTTCGACACTTAGTACTTCTGCTTTTACGCTCATTATTTATAGGTTCATCTTTACTATCAGTTTAGGAGAATTCAGTGCTAAGTAATAATGGAAAAAGGAGTGTAAATGATACTGTGATGCAGAAAAAATGATGCAATGTTTTAGCTCTCTTTGTTACAAGAAGTGCTAAATATCAAGCATAATGCTACGACTGAGGCCATATGCTTTCTAGATTACTTTCAGGCTCATATCATTTCAGTAAAAATGTCCAGTAAGAAGACACCCTTACTGAAGTAATCGGCATTTTCTTAATGCACCATAGGACAATGTAATGCAAAGTAATTTTGATGAAAGTACAGCACACCTTTCATTGCATCTCCTTCAACATGCTTAGCTGGTTGACACACACTGAATGTGATATCCTAAAAACAGCACAACGCCTTGCTTAATATGACGTGATGTGGGAAATATTTGACACTGTAAGATCCACAAGACTATAATTTCAAGATCATTTTTCATATTTGTGATTGCCAAGTCTTTGTGCCATGTTTCATTCTTCACATGGCAGGAGATTGAGCTGAGCTTTGCATAGCAAAGTTTTGAAGAATGTCAACCCATCAAAATTGAAGGTTCATGTAAATGTACAGATTCAGTAATAGTAGCAGACATTTGAAATCAACATACCCTCATCAGTAGCAACATGAATGCATAACTGATTAGTTTAAAAGATAGCACAAATACTCTGTGGCAAATTTCTTATATGAGAACATTGCTATAATGAAATGGGTTATAATTTTCAATGGAGTAATTGTTATTGCCCAAGAAATTACCCATGGTCTCATCCTTTCTCAAAGTGAGTGCAAAACTTAGCTATCGTTGGATTAACTTTGTATAACCACAGTAAGCCACAACAGATTTTTTCCCCTCTTGTCCCTTTCCGGCCTGATTCATGCATGTAAGCAGCATTTTGTCTTGCAGAGTGCAAACCTATATTGAATCGCTACTAGGGTAGTGGGGAGCATTGGTGTAGCTTAGGTAATGGGCCAAGTGCTGGTGGGGCTTGAATGGGGTAAGAGCCCTATGAGAATCTAAAAGAATGGAATGCCAAACATAGATAAATTCAGTTGATTTATGTATAAATTTTTTGTGTGTGTGATTATTGTTTTCTTTTTCAAGGTTTTTTTATTTGCTTCGAAATCTAACACCTTTAAATTATTACCTATATTACCTAATTAATCCAACCCTCCCTTTCAAGAAGTGAATTAATTTAAAAAGCAAGGCACCATCCCATTCATGGCTTATCCCCCTAGGTGGGTTGCGCCAAAGTGTTGAGGAACCAACCAACCAACCCTTTTGCACCCCTCTGCCAACACCCATGGCCTCGTCACATTTTTATTCAATTTTGTAGCAAGATAGGCAAGTCAAGTGGAAAACCGGAAGTAAAAGTATGTCATGTTGAAATGGAAATCGGCTATGAGAAAGGCTACAGGGTGCTAAGAAGCATCACGATACCAGTACCGAACATTCTTTTACTATTTTAATACAAATTCAGTGGATACGAGGGTTTATAGCATTTCTGCAGGCCACAATTCCGTCTTAGCATCTCTAAAAGGATCCCGCAACACTTTTTTAAGTAGCCATGGAATGAATTCACTAATAGAGCCTATTGCCTCACGAATTCACCGGCACAATTTTTTTTAAAAATCTGTTCAGTATGAGCGGAGTTACAAAGATTTGTCGCTTGCTACAATTGCATTCTCTCGTCTCTTCTGTCGTCCCAATGAAACCGCTGGAAGCCTAGCAGGGAAGGATGGCACGGGAAAGGCAAATATGTCACACACCTCGTGACCTTGAGCACATTTTCTCACTTTTTTTTTTTTTTTTTTTTTGCTTCGAATACGCCTTTTTTCAGTGCGATTGCCCGCTCATGCGTAGACAAGTCGCAGTCTTCCGCGGCAGCCCCAGTAAGACCGAGTGCGCGATGCTCAAATCAGCCAGTGGCTGATACAAGGGCTGTGACGAGTAATTTTGAAGCTTGTAATGATTGGTCGAGAGACGAGAAAGTGATTTTCAGCTGACTTTGAGAATATATTGCGAATTCCAGGCCACGTGCTACTTTATAATATATGGCTGATGTGCTCTTGGGAGCTTCGACTACTGATCTGAAGCATTTTCTGACCATGCTGAAAAAGTGTTGCAGGGCACCTTCAATGTCTGGCACTTTTTATGCATATATTACAGTTAAGGGTAACAGTGGATACAAAGAAGTAATGGCTCCTACAAAGTAAATGCAGCACCCTCTTCAACATACGAGCATTCAGGGTTCCCCTTTGGGGGGGGGGGGCAAAGGTTCATCATTGCGCCCTCCTCCTTTGGGCATGCCTATGCCGTCCTTCAACTTTGTTGTAGTCACGATTTATAACCGAAAAATGAAGGTTTGGCTCAGGTTTGGGTTTGACATGCTACATTTTGCTTCACTTTAGTTGTGGTCAGGTGAAATAAAAATCTTCAATAATGGTTCACAACACGTCTGGAGCTAGCAGTAAACTTTATCTTTGGCAAGTTACACTGTGCTTTTGACCTAAATGTGCTGAGCTGAACAGGCAGCACTACTCAAGTGGCTGCACTCAAATATTCAAGAGAACTTTTAATTTGTACTTTTGACTTAATTAATTTTCTATTTGTCTCCGATTTCGTGTTCTGCTGATCACATTGCATATTCGCAATTTATTTTAAGAGGTGGAAGAAACTGATTTGTTGTTACATTGGAAACAGCAATCTGCCTTTTAATGCAAGTATAGAATAAGGTATTCACTGAAACTAGCTAATGTAGCTACTATAGTGGTAAGCATGGACATATGAGCACCAAGTTGCAATGCAAGCATGTGCTCTTTAACATGGCAAGCTCTAAGATCTCTCTTTCATGGATTTCTTCATATTGCTAATCATGCCAACATTGAGCACAGCAGTAGAAATCTTTGCAGATGACTGAACAGCAAAATTTTCTAGCCACACTGAATAAAATCGTAAGAGAAAAATGGCCATCAAATATTGATAAAAAATAAATGAAATTGAAAA